TGTTCTATGACAATGTCACCTAGTATTGTTTGACAGTGTCACCTAGTGTTGTATGACAGTGTCACCTAGTGTTGTATGACAGTGTCACCTAGTGTTGTTTGACAGTGTCACCTAGTGTTGTATGACAGTGTCACCTGGTGTTGTATGACAGTGTCACCTAGTATTGTATGACAGTGTCACCTAGTGTTCTATGACAATGTCACCTAGTGTTGTATGACAGTGTCACCTAGTGTTGTATGACAGTGTCACCTAGTGTTGTTTGACAGTGTCACCTAGTGTTGTTTGACAGTGTCACCTAGTGTTGTATGACAGTGTCACCTAGTGTTGTATGACAGTGTCACCTAGTGTTGTATGACAGTGTCACCTAGTGTTGTATGACAGTGTCACCTAGTGTTGTATGACAGTGTCACCTAATGTTGTATGACAGTGTCACCTAGTGTTGTATGACAGTGTCACCTAATGTTGTATGACAGTGTCACCTTAGTGTTGTATGACAGTGTCACCTAATGTTGTATGACAGTGTCACCTAGTGTTGTATGACAGTGTCACCTAGTGTTGTATGACAGTGTCACCTATTGTTGTATGACAGTGTCACCTATTGTTGTATGACAGTGTCACCTAGTGTTGAAGGCATACAGGTGTCTATCTCAACATCTGAACACCTGTCTGCGGTTATGTTAACACTGATGAATGTAGTTGTTGCTATGTGATGACTTGGAAATGAGTTTAAATTACTTAAAGTCTCCTGTGACTGTGATGAACATGTAGTGAAGATGAATTTTCATCACATAATATCAGATATTCCATTTTAACTTCACAAATTTTAAGAAACGATAGTAGGTGAAAGAAGGTTTCTGTAATCAGGGACTAAGTCAGTGCATCTGGAAATCTTTGACGCTTTTGCGAGAAATGTTGCAACAGATGTTCCAAAAGTGAAAAATTTTTTAACTTGTCTGTTGTCTGCACCACTTGCAACATGACTATATCTTGTGTGTTGCTTTTTTTATACCATTGAGTTTAAAGGCTTGTTGAAAATTTGTTAAAATACCGACAAGTTGATGATTAAGACAAGTGCAATAGCTAGGTTTCGTTGCTGATGAAACCTATCGCCTGCACAGTAGACTTCTTCAGACGAACACCTGCTGCCTGTCTTAGTCATCATCGAGTTTAAAAACCCCAGGATGCAACCCAGAACAGCCGCCTGTTACATAGTTACTACTAAGTCAGCAGGAGCAATGTGTAAGCAGGGTTTCCCATACGTCTCCGTCTTCTTCGGATCAAACCCCAGATTCGTCAGGTGTGAGCCAGAGATGCTACCACGGAACTACGAATGTTCATAAGTCATTAACTACATTATTATCCAACCCCCTACCCCCTCCCCCTTGAAAAAACATGGAATCTTATCCCCATGCAATGCTTTGTGGTTGGCAAGAAGGCGATCATTAGAAGCGAAAAGATTTACGAAAAGGCATCTTCGCGCAGGTAGTTCTAACTGCGTCACTAGTCGTGCAAGAGATGAGGGAAGCCATAGAAACAGGGAGATTAGGAACGTACAGAGCTGGGACGGGTCAAACTGCAGAGAGGACTGAGGCAGCTTCAACCGACCTGCCTTGTCTCAGGAAGAGTAGGAAGCAAGAGTGAGGCCAAGTGTGAGTAGGTCTGACTAAGTCTGACGGGTGGTGGATCATTTAGGGTCAAGTCAGCCAGGGAAGGAGCAGGGACGGGCCATCGAGGAACAGGTCAGCTAGAGTTGGAGCACGGATGGGTCATATAGGGTCAGATCAACCAGTATTGGATCAGGGATGGGTCATGAAGGGTGAGGTGAGCCAGTGTTTGACCAGGTATGGGTCATGTAATGTGAGGTGAGCCAGGTCTGGGGGCTCAGATAGAGTGCCAAGAAAAAAACAGAATCAGAGCTGTGTTTATCTAAGTCTAACATCATCTCAAATACTCACTACTCAGTGTTCGAGACATTGTAACTTCACTTGAATAATCTGAATAAAAATAATAATATATACACATAGATACATACATTTATATATACTAACACTGAGAGTTTCAAAGTGTTCAAGGCTGATTAAATTAAACTTGGAGTGCAATAAGAAAGGTAAAGCGATACACACTTGAAGAGACTTTTAAAGTGCAGTGCAAGAACTCGGTGGTCACTCATAATGTATAAATCTGTCACTCTTTACGGCTACAATCATCTAATAACAACACACACAATCGGAATCCGTTCAAGGCAAGTTGTTGGTGGTGGCTGGTAGCCACCCACAGTGCTAAGTGTCGCAACAGAATACTGAAGACAAAAATTATATACAAAATTTCAGAAAGAAAGTAAAATGAAGAGGTTAAAGTATTAATTACTTGTATATTTACATTGATAATGAATACATTTTATGAAGCAAGAATCAAAATAAATAGTTACATAACCCGAGGTATGACAGGGATAATCTGTAAACAAATCCTCTCAACCATACACAACACCTCACTCTCAAACTTACACATTTCCCTCTCAACCATTCGAAACACCTCCCTCTCAACCATACAAAATACCACTTCTCAACCATAAACAAGCACAGTGGCTAGTAGAGTACAAGCTTGAGCAATCCAGTGTATCATACTCGCAATATATCCATTGTATACATTGCTTATATCCACAGAAAAGCATCACTATAATACAGCAACTAGACGAGGATTTAACGTCTTGTGTGTTGCGACTCAGTTTAGACAGCGAGGAACACCAGAAAAACACAGCCCCACACACCCATGGTCCTACACAACCCCACACACCCATGGTCCTACACAACCCCACACACCCATGGTTCTAAACAGCCCCACACACCCATGGTTCTACACAGCCCCACACACCCATGGTCCTGCACAGCCCCACACACCCATGGTCCTATACAACCCGACACACCCATGGTCCTACACAGACCCCACACCCATGGTCCTACACAGCCCCACACACCCATGGTCCAACACAACCCCACACACCCATGATCCTACACAACCCCACACACCCATGGTCCTACACAACCCCACACACCCATGGTTCTGCACAGACCCCACACCCATGATCCTACACAAACCCACACACCAATGGTCCTACACAACCCCACACACCCATGGTCCTACACAACCTCAAACACCGATGGTTCTACACAGCCCCACACACCCATGGTCCTACATAGCCTCACACACCCATGGACCTACACAACCCCACACACCCATGGTCCTACGCAGCCCCACACACCCATGGTCGCACGCAACCCCACACACCCATGGTCCTACGCAACTCCACACACCCATGGTCCTACACAGCCCCCACACCCATGGTCCTACACAGCTCCACACACCCATGGTCCTACACAATCCCACACACCCATGGTCCTACACAGCCCCACACACCCATGGTCCTACACAGCCCCCACACACCCATGGTTCTAAACAGCCCCACACACCCATGGTTCTACACAGCCCCACACACCCATGGTCCTAAACAGCCCCTCACACCCATGGTTCTACACAGCCCACACACCCATGGTCCTACACAGCCCCCACACTCCCATAGTTCTACACAGCCCCACACACCCATGGTCCTACACAGCCCCACACACCCATGGATCTACACAACCCCGCACACCCATGGTTCTACACAGCTCCACACACCCATGGTCCTACACAACCCCACACACCCATGGTCCTACACAACCCCACACACCCATGGTTCTACATAGCCCCACGCACCCGTGGTTCTACACAGCCCCACACACCCATGGTCCTACACAGCCCCACACTCCCATTGTCCTACACAGCCCCACACTCCCATGGTCCTACACAACCTCACACACCCATTGTCCTACACAGCTCCACGCACCCATGGTCCTACACAGTCCCACATACCCATGGTCCTACACAGCCTCACACAACCATGGTGCTACACAGCCCCCCACACCCATGGTTCTACACAGCCCCACACACCCATGGTCGTACACAACCTCACATACCCATGGTCCTACACAACCCCACACACCCATGGTCCTACACAACCCCACACACCCATGGTCCTACACAACCCCACACACCCATGGTTCTACATAGCCCCACGCACCCGTGGTTCTACATAGCCCCACACACCCATGGTCCTACACAGCCCCACACTCCCATTGTCCTACACAACCCCACACACTCATGGTCCTACACAGCCCCACACACCCATGGTCCTACACAGCCCCACACACCCATGGTCCTACACAGCCCCACACTCCCATGGTCCTACACAACCTCACACACCCATTGTCCTACACAGCTCCACGCACCCATGGTCCTACACAGTCCCACATACCCATGGTCCTACACAGCCTCACACAACCATGGTGCTACACAGCCCCCCACACCCATGGTTCTACACAGCCCCACACACCCATGGTCGTACACAACCTCACATACCCATGGTCCTACACAACCCCACACACCCATGGTCCTACACAACCCCACACACCCATGGTCCTACACAGCCCCACACACCCATGGTCCTACACCGTCCCACACACCCATGGTCCTACACAACCCCACTTACTCATGGTCCTACACAACCCCACACACCTATGGTCCTACACAGCCCCCACAGCCATGGTCCAACTCTGTTACCACCACAATCATAGAACAACACAGTCACCCCTACAACCATGGATCAACAGTCACCCCTACAGTCATGAACCAACAACGTTACCTATCACAATCATGGCCATACACAGTTACCAGTCACAATATGGCTCTACACAGTTATCTGTCACAATCGTGGCTCTACACAGTTACCTGTCACAATCATGGCCGTATATAGTTACCTGTCACAATCATGGCCCTACACAGTTACGTGTCACAATCATGGCCCTACACAGTTACCTATCACAATCATGGCCCTACACAGTTACCTCCACAATCATAGCCCTACAGAAGAGAGGAGAGAAGCAGTAGAGAGAGCCTGAACCTACATTGTTGCCGGGTTCCATATTGCTGGTGTCAATGGTGCGGTAGATGCCAATGGGTATCTCACAGGTAGTGGAGCACAACTTCTGGTACAGACGTCCATACGTCCTGATCCACAGATCTTGCTTGCCAATCTTCATCTGAGGGACACGACACATGTGAAGCACACACCTGTCTCTATATTTAAAAATTAGTCACAAGTGAGTGATTCTTGGTGAACTAATCGGTAACTAATTCTTGGTGAAGAGCACCGTTGGTGCTCTTCACCATCTCCCAGGCTGAGGGACTGATTACCTCAGCTTTTGCATATAATTCTTCGCTTTATGTCCTTGTATTGACAGTCACTGGTTGGCGATAAGTCTACAAATAAAGATACCAAGATGTTACATTTGTGTCTAAATGTTCGTCTTGTCGGAATTGTTTACCACTTATATACTATGTCTAAATTCTCTCCTTATGGATGACTGAGACACTTCCACAACATTTGGGAATTTTTTTCCTAGAAAACGTTTTCAAATTCTTGAGCAGCTTAAGGAAAAGGCTGGACAAATACATGGATGGTTTTGATGGCCTTGTACGGGCCAGTAGTCCTGCCGCAGTGTTCCTCCATTCTTATGTTCTTACTATATTTCTCAAATGTTGCCCCAAGTGTGTCAGTTATCAACTTGTCAGTTTTGTAAAGTATTTATAAATATCCTTATTGAACACTGTGAAGTATTTCACTAAGTCCGTGACCATTCAAGGGGGGAGCTAGCTAAAATATCCCATACAGTGTGTGTTAGAAACTGTGACGGATTTCTCACCAAAAAATATTGCAGAGCAAGCTAGTATTTGACAGAGTACAAACCCAAGTTCTCAACGTCATTACCACGAGTTCTGATTCAGGCACCGCCAAATTTGTCCTCAAATTTCTCCTGCTCAAAAGTACATTTTTAGGTATATCCCTAAGAATACTCGTATTGTTTGTCAAGAAAATTTTCTTCTACCTTCAAACCTCTCCAAATTTTCCATGCGATACCTTGAGGATGCCTCTTCTGTTTGGACTCAAAGTTTCAGCATTGGTTCATCTTGTACAGGTGAAGTCCTCTGCTTCCCTGCACTTTGTGGTCACATGTTCTATTTCGTTAACTATCTTTCCCTCTAGCTTTCTTACCCACTGTACCTCATGCAGGAATTGCCTCGTACCTGTGTAATTCCCGCCCTTCTCGTACCGCTTAACTCTCCATTGTTAACTCTACTGTGCATTCGAAACTCAGGACCACGTGATCGCTAGCGCCTAGGGGCCATTTGTGTGCAGTAACCCCTGTGACTAAACTGTTCAAGATGAATACTATGTCCAGCCTTGCTGGTTCATCGTCCTCCCTCTCTCTCTGGTAGTGTCACTAATATGTCTTCACTCTTCATGTCTCTGACCCCCTCCATGTTGCTCCAGATTTTCTCAATCTCCTTATGGTTGAAATCCCCCATGATGAGTAACTTTTCCTTGCTCATATGAGCCCATCTGGTAACCTCAGCTAGTGTGTCCACAATTGCTCTGTTGCTCTCATCGTATTCTTGTCTTTGTCTCCTGTTCAGTGGTGAGTTGTACATCACTGCTGTCATTACTTTTGGACTCCCATTTTGAAATGTTCCTATGTAGTCATGCACTACACCTTTGACTAGTCCTCCCATCTCCTCAAAACTCCATTAGTTTTTGATGAGCATCTCAACTCCTCCTCCCCCTCTGTTGTTCCCTGTCTTTCCTCAGGATCTGATATCCAGATGGGAAGATCGCATCTATCACCCCCATGAGCTTTGTGTTTGTGAGTGCTATGATGTCTGGGAATGCCTCAGTGATTCTTTACTGCCATTCCTCACTCTTATTTGTTATTCCATTTGCGTTGGTGTACCATAACTTTAGCTTCTTTTCCAGATTTGCATTCTGGAGGGTGGGAAGGGCTGGTGCAGGCTGAGGATACAGTAAGTAGGTCTGGATATTTTGGTAGGCTGCTATTGTGGTGGTATTAGTTTTGTGGGTGTGGAATGTGGCTTTGCTCTGGTTATTGTGTTTGGTTGGTGTAAGGTAGTAAGGGTTGAAGGGGTGATGTGGGTGGTTCTGTGGTCAGTTGTACTTGTTCCACCTAAGGCTATGCTTTCCTGTCTGTTGGTACCTGCTCTCCCTTTTTTGCCTCTGGCACCTTCTTACTCTTTCTCTCAGTAGTTCCCTTTATTTTTATGTTCTGTCATGGTCGAGGTACTTACTGGTATTCTTGGGAACCCTTTAACAATAGTTTCCACTGTAGGATCTTGTTTTGTACCATTTCTGTTTTGAAGATTGAGACACTTATGCAGCATATGGAAATCTTTATTCAGGAAACGTTTCGCCACACAGTGGCTTCATCAGTCCAATACAAAGAGGAAGGCGTAAGGAGAGGAGGAGAATGAGGTAATCAGTCCCTCAACCTGGAGTCGATGTGTTCAGTCCATCAATCTTGTAGAATGTACAGCATAGGGCCGTAGACGTGGCTTATATACTGTAGTGAGGTGACGTGAAGCAGATGGAGGCGGGGTCATAGTGGTACCATCCACTAGTCGAAGTAGGTCTTCGTCCAAAGGTTGAACAAGTGTTGAAGAATTCTTTGTAACAAGATCCCATGATGCTGCAGTGTCCGACAGTTGTGATGAATGGTTTGAAAAACCGACAAGTTGAAGATTGAGACACTTATGCAGCATATGGAAATCTTTATTCAGGAAACGTTTCGCCACACAGTGGCTTCATCAGTCCAATACAAAGAGGAAGGCGTAAGGAGAGGAGGAGAATGAGGTAATCAGTCCCTCAACCTGGAGTCGATGTGTTCAGTCCATCAATCTTGTAGAATGTACATTCTGCAGCATCATGGGATCTTGTTACAAAGAATTCTTCAACACTTGTTCAACCTTTGGACGAAGACCTACTTCGACTAGTGGATGGTATCACTATGACCCCGCCTCCATCTGCTTCACGTCACCTCACTACAGTATATAAGCCACGTCTACGGCCCTATGCTGTACATTCTACAAGATTGATGGACTGAACACATCGACTCCAGGTTGAGGGACTGATTACCTCATTCTCCTCCTCTCCTTACGCCTTCCTCTTTGTATTGGACTGATGAAGCCACTGTGTGGCGAAACGTTTCCTGAATAAAGATTTCCATATGCTGCATAAGTGTCTCAATCTTCAACTTGTCGGTTTTTCAAACCATTCATCACATTTCTGTTTTTTATGTCGATTTGATTGGGTGGTTCTTTTCCCCTCGAGTACCACCCAAGTCTCTGAAAATTTGTCAGTTGGGTCTTTTCTCTCCCCGTGTCTTCTTTTGTCATACACAAATAACCTGCACATAGAAGAGAGGAGCTTACGACGACGTTTCGGTCCGACTTGGACCCTTCACAAAGTCACACTAACAAAAAGGAGAGAAAGAGAGAGTATATATAGGCCAGCAGACAGGGACCGGACAAGAGAGGTAGTGGTAGAAGTAGTAGTATTGGAGGTAGTCAATACTAAGAGAGAGGAGCACTGCAAGGGAGCTAGGAGCCCACAAAGACTAAGAAAGAGGAGCACTGCAAGGGAGCTAGGAGCCCACAAAGACTAAGAAAGAGGAGCACTGCAAGGGAGCTAGGGGCCCACAAAGACCAAGAAAGAGGAGCACTGCAAGGGAGCTATGGGCCCACAAATGGTAGGAGCAAGAACGCAGATGGGGGGGGGGGGGATAAATAATAAAGGATTAATACCCAAGGCAGAAGAAAGAAAACCCAAAGGAGAAAGAGGAGAGGGGAAAGGGAGAAGGGGAAAAAAGAATCAGGTTAAGTCACAGGTGTTCCGAAGTTTGGAGCATTTTACAATGTAGTGGGAAAGGAAGGCATCTACAGAGACGAAGCCACGACTAAGATTCATACAAGGAAAGTTGTGTATTAGGGAGGATTCAGCCAGACGGCAATGTTCTCCTTTGGGTTTTCTTTCTTCTGCCTTGGGTATTTATCCTTTATTATTTATTTCCCCCCTTCTGTGTTCTTGCTCCTACCCTTTGTGGGCCTCTAGCTCCCTTGCAGTGCTCCTCTTTCTTAGTCTTAGTGGGTTCCTAGCTCCCTTGCAGTGCTCCTCTTTCTTAGTCTTAGTGGGTTCCTAGCTCCCTTGCAGTGCTCCTCTTTCTTAGTCTTAGTGGGTTCCTAGCTCCCTTGCAGTGCTCCTCTTTCTTACTCTTTGTGGGTCCCTAGCTCCCTTGCAGTGCTCCTCTTTCTTGGTCTTTTTGGGCTCCTAGCTCCCTTGCAGTGTTCCTATTTCTTAGTCTTTGTGGGCCCCTAGCTCCCTTGCAGTGCTCTTCTTTCTTAGTCATTGTGGGCCCCTAGCTCCCTTGCAGTGCTCCTCCTAGTCTTTGTGGGCTCCTAGCTCCCTTGCAGTGCTCCTCTTTCTTGGTCTTTGTGGGCTCCTAGCTCCCTTGCAGTGCTCCTTTTTCTTAGTATTTGACTGACTCCATTACTACTTCTACGACCACCTCTTCTGTCCTGTCCCTGTCTGCTGGCTTATATATACTCCCTCCCTCTCTCCTTTTTGTTAGTGTGACTTTGTAAAGGGTCCAAGTCAGACCGAAACGTCGTCGTAAGCTCCTCTCTTCTATGTGCAGGTTATTGTCTATGACAAAAGAAGACACGGGGAGGGAAAAGACCCAACTGACAAATTTTCAAAGACTTGGGTGGTACTCGAGGGGAAAAGAACCACCCAATCAAATCGACATAAAAAACAGAAATGGTACAAAACAAGATCCTACAGTGCAAACTATTGTTAAAGGGTTCCCAAGAATACCAGTAAGTACCTCGACCATGACAGAACACAAAAAGAAAGGGAACTACTGAGAGAAAGAGTAAGAAAGTGCCAGAGGCAAAAAAGGGAGACAGAGCAGGTACCGACAGACAGAAAAGCACAGCCTCAGGTGGAACAACTAGTACAACTGACCACAGAACCACCCACAGCACCCCTTCAACCCTTACTACCTTACACCAACTAAACAAAATAACCAGAACCAAGCCACATTCCGCACCCACAAAGCTAATACCACCACAATAGCATATCCTCAGCCTGCACCAGCCCTTCCCACTCTCCAGGATGCAAAGCTAGAAAAGAAGCTAAAGTTATGGTACACCAACGCAAATGGAATAACAAATAAGAGTGAGGAATGGCAGGAAAGAATCACTGAGGCATTCCCAGACATCATAGCACTCACAAACACAAATCTCATGGGGGTGATAGATGCGATCTTCCCATCTGGTTATCAGATCCTGAGGAAAGACAGGGGGGGGGGATCGGAGGGGGAGGAGGAGTTGAAATGCTCATCAAAAACTAATGGAGTTTTGAGGAGATGGGAGGACTTGTCAAAGGTGTAGTGGATGACTACATAGGATCACTTCAAAATCGGAGTCCGAAATAGAGCCTATTTCTACGACTAAGAACACTCCTCTCCAGAGTTATTCTTCGTCTGTCCCGTCTTCCCCGCTCATCCCATTGGGATCTTACCTGCACTTGTTCGTTCGTTCGTTCCTTTTTGTTAGTGTGACTTTGTAAAGGGTCCAAGTAGGACCGAAACGTCGCCGTAACCTCCTCACTTCTATGTGCGGCGTTATTTGTGTATTGTTCCAGTCACAGTATTGTACCTTTTGTTCTTTTGTCAAAGGTGCCAGTGTGTGTGTGTGTGTGTGTGTGCACTCACCTATTTGTGGTTGCAGGGGTCGAGTTCATATCCTCGTTCATATCCTAAGATCACAGATAAACACACATAAAACAACCCAAGATTACACCGTCAGCATTGTTGACAACTTACCGAAGTAAGAAATCCTGAACCAGGAGCCTGGTCCACCCCCAACAGCAGTCTGACGAAGGTGATGAGGTAGTCTTTAACGAAGGCTTGGTAGAGGAGCGTGTCGAGCATACTGGCGGAGAAGACACTGCCAGCAGCGAAGGGCAAACGGAACATATAGGAGATGTGGGAACCTCGTTCTTTCTCGCGCTGTGTGTAGGGAACGTCCATTGTATTATACATTCGCACACATAAATCTAACTTATAGTTACGATTGACTTGAATGATATGTTCACTTACTGGAAAGTTAATACAAGTATCTGATGCATATGCTATGACTAGAGGACGCAGATAATGTTACATTTAACACAGATGGTGGAGTAACGAGGTGCGCACAAGTGTAGGTCTATAGGCTGTTGCTTCTCCCCTACAACTGCATCCTACAGAGCTCTCTGTAGTGTGTACCATCAATGTATCTTAAACCTTGTGTACCATTTTACGTAATCAAATACACCTATCTAATAGGGTGGTAGGAACAGTAGAATATCCAGACGACTTCAGGGAGAAATCCAAATATTTTTCCTACGGAACTTTTTTTATTTACTTCTTCGAGGCTATGGGTCCCTATATATATATATATATATATAATATATATATATATATATATATATATATATATATATATATATATATATATAACCTTTGTTGTACGTTTCAAAATTCGAGAAATACAGCGGGTTTGCAATTTCCTCACATTAACCGGGATTTGTCAATGATAAACGTAGACAACAAATACCAACAAACTGGCTCATAGACAGGATGGGGGAGGGGCAGTAACAGTCAAAGACTGAAAAGACCAGAGATGAGCCTCGGTGGCTGACAAAAGGTATAAAGGGGACACAATAAACATACAAGGTCACGAAGAAGTGTACCAGAGAAGAGTTGAAATCTCTTAGCAGTCTTAGAAAGACGAATAAGAGGTCATAGTTGTAAACAGAAAAGAAACTGGCATCAAAATTCTACAAAAAAAGATATTTTCTCAATGCGGGAACAATAGACTGGATACAAAGGGAACCAGTAAGTACCACAACCATTGTAAATAATGAATATTTGATAGATCGAACACTGAAAATGGGACACCATGGTTTTAGCTGTGATCCTGTAGCTACAAATAGGTAAACATCAATAGGTAAACACAAATAGGTAAAGACATTTAGGTAGTGACACACACAGCGGCTGGTGCACCTCTGTCACCATTCCGCCTAGGAAGACCCGTTCTATGGATATAGACAAAACTGTGTATTGATTATGTTCTTGTATATATATATATATATATATATATATATATATATATATATATATATATATATATATATATATATATATATATATATATATATATATATATATATACTTTGAGTAGAATGCTTTCTTTATTTACTTTAATATCACCAAGTTACTTTACTGTAATAAAAGCCACGAAAATGGTGTAAATTACAATATACTTTAAATTACTAACATTCCACGTCCTCTTAAAGTTATGTCAAAAATTTTTGTAAATGTAAAAAAAAGTATGATTTTTAGTAGCAAATACACGCACATATATTAGATATTACTTATTGAGAAGAAAACTAAATGCATATCACTAAATACACAAAGTGTTGCAAGCATGCAAGTGTTGCTAGCATGCATGTG